AGGTATACTAGTTCTGATTTCTGCTCGATTGCGTTTCTGAAGCAGGTATCCCGATGAAGAAGCAGGGCAGATTCCCATGGCTTATGTAGTTAGAAAGCCTGGAAGCAATATCAATGAGGCTGCAGTTAGGGATTTTGTTGCAAAACAAGTATGCTCCTGAATACTTGTAAAAAAATTCCAGTCTCTTGAAGTTGTACGTTACAGGCCATCACATTGAAGTTGGTTTGTTATTGCAGGTTGCACCCTACAAGAAGATTCGACGTGTATCGTTTATCAACTCGATTCCGAAATCTCCGGCAGGAAAGATCTTGAGGAGGGAGCTCATTAGTCATGCTCTATCTAGCCGTTCATCTAACTTATAATTTACATATTCAAACAAAGGATGAAAGCTTGCCGAGCATTGCATTCCAATTCAATATATCAACTTGTTTATGTTCTTTAGCATGTAAACACGCAATCTTGGAAGTCACAGTTGGATATTTTTCTGATCAGATCCTTATGTTTTGTTTCTTTTTCCCCTGTCCACATTATTTGGATTACTTGCATATCTAGAACATTTTTCTGTGAGATAGTTTGAAATTCAGCATTAGACCCTTTTGTGCTTGATGCACTGTACCTTCAAAAATATAGAACATGTTGGAGCATGAAATTTCGGGTCCTCCAACAAGTAATCTCGTAATCAATGTTGAGAGAAGCCGGACACCATCTACGATTGCCACCAATGAGAGGGGAGTACCTGCAAGAAAACTATTTGACGCTCAAGTCAGTGTTCGTTCAGGAATATTGCGTATAGTCAGAATAATCTCATACCTCTCTCCCCTTATGTTGGAGATTAGTTAGCCTTTTATAAGCATTGAACCCTTGGACTCCAAGTCCCATATCCCTTATTTATCTCCATGCTCAATGGTAGTGGATATCATGTCATTTAATTCCCTCCACTCCCTAAATTTAAGGTTCATGGGAAGTGGCTTGTTACTTGGACCTTAATTTTTGTTCCCACATCTGCCCCATTTTCTCTCTCTGAACACGTGTCTTGGGTGTAGAGAGAGAAAATATTCTTTGTGGGAATTCACTGTGTGTAGAGTTTTATGTATTGACTTAACTTATACGATCTTCGATCACAAGCATGTGGAGTTTCACGAGTATGGTTTTCAACCATGAATATTCTTCGATCTCGAATTCGGCCTTTAGCCATGAGTATGGTCTTCGACCATGAACAGATATTCGATCACGAGTTTGAGTTTGGGCTTCGGTCGTATAGTCTTCAACTATGTATTTGACTTTCAGTCACAACTATGGCTTTCGGCCACATGAGCTTGGCCTTCGACCATATGAACTTCCCTCCACAAGGCAATAAGGAACTTGAAGTTTTCATTCTTATCTTGAGTGGTCTAGTGGTTTCCCCACCATACAAAGAGCAATTGAACATATGCATAGTCGAGAGGTGCCCATTTACTTTTCATCCAATTATTTATATAGCAAGCTGCCAACAAATTCTAACCATCCAAGAATAATGCAATTTCATCAACGTACGAAAACAAGTTTCAGTTCATATGCATTCTAAAGCTTTGTCAATGGAT